TTGTACAAACCAATGTCATCTACTGCTGCATGGTCTCCATTTCGTGGATGATTGCTTGGGCGGAGGACTCATCGGCAGGCGTTTTGATGGCGACGACACGACCCTTGTACGTGCCCTTGTACACAGTGCCATAGATTGGACTAGATTGGTCCATCTTGATGTCCGTGGCCGGCACCTAGAGCCGCCCATGGTAAAGAAAGATCGATCGTAGGAAAGTGATGCGTACGCTGGGGATGATGCGGTTCGCAGCTGTCTGTAGCATCGTCGCCAGGCGTCGGTGGCCCATTTGGATGGCTAGAATCACCGGCGTCACGCCCGCCTAAACAACAACAATATTGTCATTGTCATCGTTGTCGTCGACCGCATTTTGTTGTACCGCATTGCGAACGTCGACGTTGATGCTGGGCGATCGCAAAAGCGACATCAACGTCTTGTGGTTGTTGGTTTGTACAGCGAGATGCAGTGGCGAGTCGCCCGCCTACACCGTTCCAGCGTCGTTAGGATGCTCAAGAAGCGAGTTACAGTATATACCTCGTTCGCGGCGATGGAATCACTGTCGTCGGCCAGCAGCTTTTGGCTGGCGTCGTTGTCGTTGACAGCTTGAACACGCTCCTGCACCACAGATATGTATAGCCGTGATATTTCACAAGCGAGTTGTACGTTGGCGCCTTGTGTGCCTCCGGGTCTGTCCACCGAGCTCTACATAATTGGAAAGGACTTGTGACATGCAGCAGTCAAAAATTCGTGGCTGACGTCGAGGCGGTCGCAAACCCGCTGGACAAGTTGGCCCAGCAACTCCTCCGAGCCGCAGACGCTCGTGCGAATGAGGTCTCGCAATACCCCCGTGTCGCAGATACGCGTGACGATGTGATCTAGCATGGCCTGCGAGAGCTGAGGAGCCTACGAAGACTTGCAGAAGAATGCGTTGGGTCATGCAGACTACCGTTTGCTTGGTCGATTTTTCGGCCTGCAGCAGGGTGTTGATGACGAGTGGGTGGGTCGCCAGCATCAACGGCGTCTTGCCCATCTAGGAATCACGTCACCCTAGAGCTTTCATGTTTTTTGAGATGGCGATACCTTGTCCTTGGCAAAGACATTGGCGTCGACGTCCAAAAGGTACTTGACCACACTGTCGTAGGCCTTCTCGGACGCAATGTGGAGCGGTGTCTGCCCCATCTAGTTGAAACGAGATAGGAGTTGGACTGGTTCTATCGCAGACAATGTTGTCTACCAAATCACACGCCTCGACGTTGACGCCACACTGGACGACTTGGTGAAGGACGCTCATGTTTCCGCCAATCGCAGCCGCGTGCAGCAGTGTCGATCCATCCTAGCATCATAATAATGCATTCCGAATACGAATCCTGCAAAGACAGTACGTGGGAAATGACGTGGGGGCTAGCGCTGCTGCGAACGAGACATTTGACAACGTCGGCGTGGCCACCGGTGGCAGCGACAAAAAGGGGTGACTCCCCATTCTACACCATGTCCAAGGTAAAAATGGAAACGAAGCAGAGTGTACGTGGTTGGTCACGTCAATGCCGTTCTCGTCCTTGGTCTCTTGTTGGAGCAGCATTGTGAGGATGGACATATACCCCTTTGCCGCCGCCACGTGCCACGCCGTCTCGCCTTTCTAGATCAAACCAAGAAGCGTATGGATTTCAAGCACCAAATTATACAGTACCTCGTTGGCCAATGACCAGCTAACGCCCAAACGCAGTACTTGATCCACCGTGCTGCCGTCTTTGGCGGAGGCGGCTTGGCGCAAAGCGTCGCAGAAAGCTGGCATTGCAGCACGTAGACTCTGTACCGCATCGTCAAATTTCAGTAAAATACTGTAAACTTCCAACCTTGTCGATGAGATCAAGTGACGCGCCCGCCTGGTACAGCATCCGAACTGCGTCTGCGGTGCCAGTAGTGATGGCGACTGTAAGAGCCGTGCGACCCATCTATTCCATCACACATCATGTAAGACTGTCGGACAAGAAGACAATATACGGAAATACCGAGTCTTTGGCATCGATGTCGAGGTTTGGTTTTTTAAGCAATATTTGAAGGAGGGACAGATCCTGCGTTGCCACGACCAAGTGCAGCAACGGCGTCTCAGACTACACTCATATCAGTCACATCTATCGATGATATGTCGTAAAAATGTGTACGCTGTCACGGAGGCTGCTGCGGATAAAGTTGTTTTGGAGAATGCGCATGGCGTCATCAATGCGCTTCTCGCGCAGTGCATCAAAGAGCTATAACGGAGAGAGAGTATAGACATGGCAGATGAATATGCTATCGTGGTCGACTATCTACCTGACTTGGCATGCGAGGATAGCCGCGTAAAAGCGTTGCGACGGGATCATTAACACCTGCGACCTCAAGCGGCGTTTTGTCATTCTAAAAAACAATTGTTGGTCCTTGACAATCTCTTGAGGCACATTTCATGCCCGCACCATACAACCGACATGGTGGCTGTGGGCACATTCGTAGACACCGTCGGCCACGTAGAGCTTGAAGAGGTTGTACCACACAAACTCGAGCGTCATGTCGTCCTCGGCGACATCGACGAGAATCGCTTGCAGAAACGACACCACATGACGGCTCAGACCCTTCCGTCCAACAACAGACCTAGTTGAGACAATTTCTTCCAGCGAGCTCTGCTCATTGAATTAAATTGACCCATTTCAACAACAACGGCTCAGACCCTTGGGCACATGCTTCTTGAGCAACGTCGGGAGCTCGACGACGACCGCCGCGCCTTCGAGATGCACGAGCGACCGGACCGCTCGGTCCAAGACCGTCTCTGTCTTGGTCGGTTCGAGCAGCGAGCAGTCGCCGAGAAGGTACAGACGCTGGGCATCGTCGTTGGCGTCATTGGCGTCACGCAGCACGACGCGTAGGACGCTGTGGAACCGTTGCTTTGCAGAAACGGCAGCAGCTTGGCGGCATCGGCGACCGCCGCGATGAACGACCGCGTCGACGCGCCGAGATCCCATTCCACAACAATTGCATCCAAGATCGACGACGCGAACTCCTGCAACACGGGCACGCCCGACGTCGACTGCGTCTGACTGCGCAGCCAGTACAAGTTGGACCACATGGCCAGCGACCGCTCGAGCGCTTGGTAAACGTCCAAAAGCGTCACGGACGTCACGACGTCTAGTTCGAGCACGTCCGACTGCCACTCGCGTTCGAGCGACGCATAGTAGGACGCGGTGGGCAATGCCGCAAACGTGGGCAGAAGAATCGAGTCGTAGAGGTCGGCGTTCGTCGCCGGGCGGTCGCCGAGGATCGAAGCGGTGACCGGAAAGACCACCGACATGTGGTTGCGCCGCAAGAGCACGGGCGACCCGAGCAAGTCGCACGACACAAAGCTGAGGGGCACGTTCTCCGCCGCCCAGTGCTAGTTCTACGTTTTATATAACGATCGTTTTGATGTACAAGTTGTCATATGTCGTACCTTGTGGCGACGGCGAGGACGTGGCGCCACACGGTCGATGATCGAAGCGTATACGGGTACGAACCCTTGGTGTCCTGCAACGACCACAAACATTGGACCGCGTCCAACATTGAGCGGCTAGAAGGTCTGCTTGAGTACGCCCGCCGCCACAAGCCCGAGGCAGCCATCGCGCTCCTCGACTTTGAAAAAGCTTTTGACCGCGTCGACCACGGCTACTTGCTCGCGGTGCTCCGCAAGTGGGGTCTCCCGCAGCGCTTCTGCACCATGGTGCAATGCTTGTACTCGGGACGCCGCTCCAAGATCCTCGTCAACGGTGACCTCTCGTCGCCCTTCTGC